GTGATTAAGTGATTAATAAACAAAACAGTTGGGTTGGGTCCACTTTCACAGGAAGGGTTTACAGCAAATAATAATGACCCTTCCAGCAAATAATAAATGAAGTCATTATTATTTACTGTAAAACCCTTCCTGTGAAAGTGACCCAACCCAACTGTTTGGTCTATAGGAAGCAAAATGTCCTTCCCTCTGAAAGTGGACCCAACTGTTTGGTCGCTTAATCACCTCTTAAACCTTAGAAAAAGTGGAGCGACACGTGCCTCAAGATCCCTTCGAATCCAACTTCTATAAATAAGCATGCTTTCCTTCTTTTGGTCTTACACTCGGTTATTCCTCTTAACTTCCCGTTGTCCCCTTCAGAAAACTCTTTTTGCTTAAATAACGCAGGCAGAATCAGAAGAGTATTCCCCCCTTCTTCTGAGCCAGCACAGGCCTGGCCAACTCCAGTTGATGTACTTTGCACAATTGCACAATGATGTCTTCAATTCTTCAAATTTCGAGGTATGAGCTCTGAGTTTTCACGAGATTGATTAGCAGTGCTGTGTTTTGTGGAAACAATGTTATATTCCTTTTCCGGCTTTTCATTAAAAAAAAATGTTATACCTTTTCCCTTTTTTTGTTTTTTTCAACATAGTTTTGAGGTGTTACCTACTTAAACATACTATCATTGGATTTGAAAGAGTTAGTTATGTTCGGCTTACAATTGTATAATTGTTATATGAATATTTAGTCATTTATTTTAAAATTTCAGTAATTAATGTAATAAATGAATTTTTAAAAAATCTCATAAATTTTAAAATGTATGATTGAAAATTAGTGTAAGAACTTCTTAAATTTATAGAAATATAAGTGAATGCCCATTCAAGAGTTATACCTCTTATTAGAAATTAATTTCATAATTTTTTATTTAAAATTATCTTGAAATAAGAGATTTTAAATTTGAATATAAAAATTCATTTCTCATTTTTAACCCAAAATCAAAAATAAAGATAGTCATAATATTTACTATTGGATCATCAATGTTTAAAAGAAAATTAAAAAAAATTCCTGTTCCTTAATTTTTGTTGGTGCTTTAAGGTTAGTTGTTTAGTATTAGGGTTTTTCTAACGATACAGGTTAAGAGTATTTTTTTTTATTATAAAGGTATATAAAAATTATAAAAATTGATATTAACTTTAGTTTTAGTACTGAGTGAATTTAATTGGACAATTAAAAAATTAAATATTAATTTTTTTTCAATATAAATTTATAACGAAAAAATATATTTAATATACCTTAAAGGTGTAGATTATACAAATCCTTAGTATTAAAAGGTTTTAAAATTAAACCATAGTTCAAATCAAGGTCTTTTGGTTTGTTGGTTGGATGATTGATTTATATAAGAGGGAAAACAATATAATGATAATGTAATATATGAGTTTAATAATTGATTTATATAAAAGGAAAAACAATTTAAGGATAATTTTTATATACGAAGTATAAATATTTTTTTATAATCTTATACACTGTTTAATAATTAATTTGTTTTATT